CTTCTCGACGCTTCCATTCGAGGAGTTCTCGACACGCAGGCGAAGTTTGGAGGCGCAGCCCGTTCGGCAGAGCTGAAATCGCAAATCCAGCAGCGCATGGCGGATGCGATTGATTCTGCGACTGAGCGCTTGGTCAACCGCGACATTGACCGCCTCGGTTCGCTGCGAGCCGCTGGAGAAGTCCGCGAACAGCTTTCCCAGGCGATGGTGCAGGCGCAGACCACGACTCTGTTCGCCCAGACAAGCCTCTTCTCAAACGCGCTCGGCCTATTCGATGCCATCAACATAGGTGGCTTCCGCCCTAAAGGCCTTGAAACCGGTGGCACACGAATCTCAACCCTTGATTTCGTTGCTCAGCGCCAGCCGGCGCTCGCCATATCGTGAGTCGAAAATGAAGTCGCAACCCAGTCTTCTCGAACGCCTGTTTGGAAAGCGTAGCACTCAGCCTGACCCTGCTTCAAAGCGCTTGCAGGATATCAAGTCGGGCAAGCGCGCCTGGATGAGCCTAGGCGAGACCAACGGAATCAAGATCAAAGTCCTTCGAGGTGAAGATGATTAGCGCCTCGTAGGGCCCCGACCTCAATGCTTAGCAATATTTGTTGCGCGTTCGGGCAGGATCCGCGCGGCAATGTAGCGGCCACATTCGCGCTGTCCGCATCAGCTCCTATGATCAGCGTCTGTGGCGCTGTCGACTTTTCGAGGTCGCTGACTATCCGAGCCGAGGTTCAGTATGCGATCGACTCAGGCGTACTCGCCACAGCGTCGCTCTCCCAGGACCGACCTGCAGAAGAGGTCGTTACGGCCTATGTCGTGGCTGGAATCGGGGGTCACGATGGCGCTTGTGAATTTTGAGGTTACGGTTCAAAGCTCAAGCCTTTTCGACCGGCAGGAGATCGCCATGGTGCTGGATATTTCCTTATCCATGGTTGGCACCCGGATCCATCAGCTTCGCTCAGTAGCGCTTGAATTTCTAGATGCGGTGGCCTTTGGCGTTCCGACGACATCGGTTTCGATAATTCCCTTTGGCGGGACCGACCAGCTGTATAGCCTTTGGCAAGCCCGTTAGAACTTTGACCAGTTATGCATGACGGTGCAGTCTAACGGAATTCGGGTTTACACGATTGCATTTTATGTTCGCCAGCAATGGCAAAGGATCTTACTTGAGGCCTTGCACAGGCCTACCGTCGCGATACTTTGAAATTGAAGACCTTAATGTGTCCACGGATTTCATTTCGATTGCATCCGACCTCGACCAATTAAGAATTTCAAAATAGTTTTTTGATTTGAAAAAAATATTCCCCTAAAATTATGGATTTAAACCCATAATCCACCTATAAAGATGTACGTAATTAGGGTGGAATAAATGTCGTCTCATTGCGTACGCCTTCTAGATCTAAATAAACTTGCATCTGAAAGATCTGCAGATTCGAGGCGGATTGTCCTAACGCAAATTGCGGATTTATTTCTGGATTATAAACCTGCCTCAGGAACCAAGCTGCACACTGATTTTGATCATCTAATGCAGTCGCTCTGCGAGGCGGTTTCCGAGCACCTTCGCGCGCAGATCGCGCACAAGCTCGCTTTTGCAGCAGATGGGCCACGCGGGCTCCTCTTGATGTTGGCAAAAGATGCCATCGAGGTGGCCGCACCAATCCTTCAGAATTCCAATGCGCTGACGGATGAGGATCTGATTGATATCGTCGAGAGCAAAGGCGCAGAGCACGCATCAGCTGTCGCCGGCCGTCAAACCCTTAGCCCAACTGTCTCAAACGCAATCGCGAAGACAGGGCATGATAGCGCCCTGGCGCGAGTGCTCACCAATACCGGAGCCAACATTGACCGACAGACTTTCGAAATCGCTGCATTGCGCGCAGAAGACAATCAAAGCCTTCAAGATGCGCTAGTCAGTCGCCACAATACGCCGTTGGATCTATTAGCCGATCTGATTCCCGTCGTTGAACGGGTGGTTCGCGAGCAGATCATCGCCAGGTTTGAGAAAGTTGATGAGCGCGTGCTTGAGGCCGCAATGACCGCCTCCCACGAGCGGCTCTTGCGACGCTTCGCTGAGGAAAAAGCATTAGATGAAGCTCGACAGCGTTTATCGGCGAAACGATTGCGACGCGCTCTCGATGGCGCCCTTCTGGTGTCTCTCCTTAAAGACAAGTGCTTCGACGAATTTCTGATCGCATTCTCCGAGATTGCGTCCGTTAGCCGTCAAACGGCCACGCGTGCGCTCGCCCACCCAAGCCCAGATGGTGTGGCGCTGCTCTGTAAGGCCGCCGGGCTGCGCAAGTCGGAGTTTGTAACCATTGCAATCCTCGGTAGACATCATTACGCTGATACTAACGCCTTAGAACAAGACCTCGACGCTCGGTTCAGTGCGGCGAAGGCATTGACTCGAATCTATGATGAGCTTTCGCCGGCAGCGGCACAAAGGGCCGTCCGATTTATCATGGCTCGAAGCAGTGTCGCCCCGGATACAGCCCAGATTCCATTATCGGCGTGATGGTCACGCACGGTGCATCCAAAAGGATAGTTCATTCTCAATGAAGCTATTCGCTTGGGCGTGACGTCAGGTTCCATATTGCAAGCGAGGAACCAGTCCTGATCAGACTGCACGCGTCGACTCCCCTCCCCCCCCCGCCCGATCTGACAAGCAAGTAAAGAATTCGTTTATCGATCCATCAGCAATAGTCCTCAGCAGGACGATTTGTGATGCCCTGTTTGCCGAAAACTTTCCGGTGACAGTGTAAGTTATTCACTAAGTTATTAGCCTCAAGGTGCAGAATGTCGTCACATGCTGGAGTGCGCTCGCTGTCGCGGGCTCGTTTGTTTGGTTCCACCGCAAGGGTGTTGGATTTGCCTCGCTTAATTGATCGCTATCACCAACAACCTGGAAGCACCGATGCTGCGCGGCCATTTGAGAATTTTGTTTTGAACAGAGCGATTGTTATAAAACATAGCTTGCGTCCCCACGAGCGGCTAATTTTTGATCATCAAAAATTTGTTGCCACGAAACTGGTGTTTCCACTAACGCTCGCCGACTTGAATCATGGTGCCTTTTCACTGTTCATTAACGAACCACAGTTTCTTGAGCGAATTTTGAAATTCATTGGGTTGCCGGCCAAAGATGAAAGCTACAGCCGGGATGAGCGACTGCTAAACATATTAGATGAAATCCCTGCTTTCGATCCCTTTTTGATTGCAGAGAGGGCAGCTCTTGACCAGGTCGATTTGCCTTATGGACTAATCGATCTTTCCGATCATGACCTGATAGAGATGCGGCAGGAGATTTCAAAATCGCTTTCAAACATCGCCGCACTTGCGATCGATGAGAATGTCAACGTAGCGGCTGATAGGCTCGCAAGTGCGTTCCTCAAGAATGCTAATGACGGACAGCTGAGGCCACTCCAGAAGGCCCTGCGCATGACAGAAGGAGACTTCCGAAAAGCCACTTATGCCTGGAAGGGAATCCTATACTACCAATGGAAGCTGAACGATATGAATTCATACTTTCTCCCGATTGTTCAGTCTTTGAAGAATATAAAACCTTTTGATGGCGATTATGAGACAAAACGCCTCATACGAAATCAAAGCCGTTTGATTGTTTCATCTTTAAACAAATCAATGGTGAATGTTGGAGAGCAGCTCGCATATTATGATGCGGCGATTACACGTATACACGAACACCGTGACGTCGAAGGGTTTAGCGCGTTTTTAAGCAATGCGGATGAAATGTTCCAAAAAATTGGGGTGTCAGCGAGCATACTAAGCCATTGTGTCGACTATTGGCAGTTCGCATTTAAAGATATTAAGGGTCGACACCTTCCAACCGAGCGAGCGCTGGACATCGTAAACGGCCTGGCGGCACCTCTATCAAACTTGGACCTAGAGGTTTAAGAGCCTTTGACAGGTTAAACGCCTAATTGTCGGGTTGGGTTCCAATCTACCCGTATAGTCAACCCATTCCGCTACCTTACAACTTCCCCGGCAATTATCCCCCCGCGCGGTGACGATGGAAATCCGATTTCCTTTGTCACTGTCAAACGTGGAAGATCTGCTCCACACGCGCGGCATCGACAACAATCACGAAGCAATACGTCTCTAGTAGAACCGGTTCGGTCCAATGATGGCGCGCGAAATCATGAAGCGCCGGTCGCACCAGCTTCGACAAATCGTGCAATGGCGTTGGCCTCTGGATGAAGTGTTCGTGAAAATCAATGGCGAGACCCATTACAGAGGCGCCTGCCGTTTTGCTCGTTCACCCGATGTTCGATGCCGGGAGGGTTGGTTCCACGCCAAGGACCAATTGGTACGTGCGGTAAGTCGCAACCATTCGCACCCATTTCCGAAAGAACTCTCTGTGAGCTCTGGGTTGCCTCAAGGGACTATCGCGCGCACCTTTCTCACATGAGACTTACTAATTTCACCAATTACGCCATGCGTATTCTTCAATTCGCGGCCTTGCGCGATCCTGACCACGTGCGGATGGAGGACGTTGCGCGTGCTCATGGGATTTCCCGCCATCACTTGCTTAAAGCCGCCAATGTGCTGGCTCAACATGGCTATTTGATTGTTATACGCGGGAGAGGTGGCGGGGTTCGATTGGCCCGCGATCCAAGCGCGATGACGGTGGCGGAAATTGTTCGCCTAACAGAGGGTCCGATCGAACTTGTCGAGTGCTTCAACGCTGAAACCAACACATGCCCGCTTATTGGCGTATGCAAGCTCTCTGCTGCTTTGCAGACGGCGACACGGGCTTTTATGGCGGAACTCGAAAACGTCACTATCGCAGATATCGCTCAAAACCGGGGCACATTGCTGGCACGCCTATCCGATGGGATGGAAACCTGACCGGTTTTCGATGGGACTGAATGTCGCTATCGGAAAGCCCTATACAAGTCATTCAAAAAAGCCGTAAGATAAATACGACTTTTAAGGGCATCCTCTTAGTTGTGACGTTGGAACCCTCCAACGCAACGAAACCAAAGGAGACCGATATGACTGATCAAACCCCTGTAGCGCTGCCGCGCATCAACGAGCCAGCACCTAACTTCACGGCACCGACGACCCATGGTGAGCGCTCTCTTTCCGATTATCACGGCAAGTGGCTGGTTCTTTTCTCGCATCCGGCTGACTTCACACCGGTTTGCACGACTGAGTTCATTGGGTTTGCCAAAGCACAGGACCGTTTTGCGGAACTCAACACTGAGCTACTGGGCCTTTCGATTGACAGCCACTACGCCCACATCGCGTGGGTGCGTGCGATCAAGGAAAAGTTCGATGTCGACATCAACTTCCCGATCATCGCCGATTTATCCATGCAGGTTGCCAAAGCGTACGGCATGATTCAGCCGGGTGCCTCAGATACGGCAGCGGTGCGTGCAACCTTCATCATTGATCCTGAAGGTGTGCTTCGCGCCATGGTCTACTACCCCATGAGCAATGGCCGCTCGATTGATGAGTTTGTTCGCCTGGTAGAGGCGCTTCAGACCTCTGACGCCAATAAAGTCGCCACGCCTGAAGGCTGGAAGCCCGGGGACAAAGTCATCGTGCCCCCGCCAGCGACGGCTGAAGCTGCCGAGAGGCGCAGCTCAGAGGGCTATGACACCGTGGATTGGTATTTCTCGACCCGCGAACTGTGAGGCCATACATATCCAAGCAATGCCGGCATGGTGTTGTGTTCCACTAGCGCGATTGCTCATGTGCACCGGCCCAGCTTATCCCACCCACATGGGTCGGTGCACACGGTTGTAGGCACGGGCATTCTGCTGCCTGCTAAGCCCTTGCAATAATAAATATATTACAGTGCTTTAGTCGAAGCTCAGCCCTTGCGGCTTAAAGCCTCCAAGATTGATGGCATCGAACATACCAAGGGCATTCGAGAATAAGCTGGTTTGCGCTAACAGGGTATTCGTTTGTGTCTGCATCATGGCTAGAGCCAGCTGCTCACGCACTTCACCTGCAGCCCGTAATGCGCCAAGGCGATCAATATCTTTGTTCACTAAGCGCGCGGTAGCGCTGTCGATGGCATCCACCATGCGCTGCTGTATCTGGGACTTGAGCTCGGCTGAACGCGCGGCCCCGCCATAATTGGCTTGTGCGGCAAGAGCATTCGATAGGGAAACATCTAACGCGGCATGCACCGCATCCCATTCAAAGCCTCCGCCTCCACTTCCGCCACCTGAGCCAGATACCCAGTTTTCGACCCCTGAGGCCATGCTGGCCATAACGGCAGCCACTTCGAGTTGGCTCATGTTCCCCTCATATATCGCAACATCATTGAATCTAGCTGCGCTTTGCAGGGTTAAGCCATTGGAGCTATGTCCTTGAGGTAACTGTCCCGGACCTCGGAACTGAACGCCGCTGTTGGGGCCGACATAAATGTTGACAGCCGTTTCTCCCGGCGCGGATTGATATGTGATCCCGAGCACTCCGGAGGACGAGCCAGTTAGATTGCCCAAGCCGCTGGAAAAGATCTCGCCGGCGAGCTCTACATCAACGTTAAGACCACCAGCACCAACGCTAATGTTAATTGTGTCGCTACCAAAAGTGAACTCCGCTAGGTCCCCACCGCTCAGCGCATTGATATTGAGGAAAGTCGAATGAGCGGCGTAAGCGGGTGAAGCGATAAACACGCCGCCAGCCGTCTCTAATCCTCCATTGGAGAAAGAATATGGACCGACGGTTAGAGGTGAGAGGGTGTCTTTGCCGATACCGACCTGATCTAAATCGCCTTCAAATGCAAAAGCGCCGCTGAGATCACCGATAAACGGGGCCTGTGCGCTTGAGCCGCCGCCTCCAGACCCGCCTTGCCCCCCGCCTGAAAGCGCAAGAATCTGTCCTTGCCCATTGCGCAAATCCCTTGCCTCAATCACTTGACCATCTGGCAGTTCCAGATCGCCGGAGATTTGTGCTGCATCGGGATTGAGGATATTGCGGCCGCCGAAGCTGGCCATTTCGCTCAGCTCATTGATGCGTGGCAAGAGCGCGTTGTACTCATTGGTGAGCGTTGCGCGCATGTCGTCTGACAGGCTCTGGTCCTGAAGGCGGGCTGCAAGCGTTTTCATTTCGGTCAGGGTGTCGACGATGGCATCTGTTGTGGCGAGTGTGACATCCAGCAAGCCATCGATGCGCTCAAGTGAACGCACATCGTTGAGCCGGCTGATCTTGCTGCTCATGGCTTGGATCGCCGTGCCGGCGGCAACGGCATCATCACGATATGTCGGTCGCTCACCATAGCTGGTGGCGACGTTAGTGGCTTGAGTTGTTGAAGCACGCGCCGCCCCAACTGCTGACAGGGACGGGGC